TCCTAAACAACAATGCGAAGATACAAGCAAACAAAACTAAGTGAATTTAAACTTCACACCATTGCAAAAGCAAGTGGCTATCAGGACTCAGTAGGTAAATGGATAATGCGATGACGTCTAAAGCGAACGGTACTGGGTTCGAGTCCCGGAGTGGGCGTCAACTCTGGGATACAGGTACATTCAGCTGACGAGTCCCAAATAGAACGGGACGTGCGTCCTAGATCCCACTGCTAACCACTATCCATCTTTGCCTAATAATTAGTATGGTTTATAGCAATGTGCATACTTTATATAATCAAATAGATCATAGTAGAATACCAACAGCAGTTATAAAGAGAAACCATATAGTGGTGAAGTGAATGAATATTTACCAACTAAAACTTCCAGAATAAATTCTTAAACACATGGAGGTACGTTCCTAGAGCATGTATATAAAATTTTGATAGAATAACATAATTGGATGAGTAGAGCTAAAAAAACATTGAGAAAAGAATCTGTTATTACGAATACGAACTAAGATATTACGCGATCGGATAGCAGAAACTTGAAGTTACCAGAGTAGTGATAGATTGACAACGGTTTTCTTTTGAATATATAGATTTGACTTTTCTATAGCGATGGCCCTTCGGTAACGTCGTAAGTTCAAATCTGATTAAGTATTTATTATTTTTGAAAGATTTTAAAATATCAAGCCATGGCATTGTTGAAAATACGTTGACCTTTCGATCTTTATTTTTTGTGGAATATACTCGGAGATTCGATCATGAATTCTTCTTTCTGTTCTTTCGAAGTAAATGCTCTGACATGAGCTGGCGAACTGGTAAGTGCAATCGAACGTAACCGGAAGTGGCGATTTGCCCACTTTTGTCCTCCTCGATGTGCTGTTTGTTTGATACATAGAAAACAGTTTTGCGGCTGGACACGTCCTCTTCAGTGCAGCATTTAGTGTAGAATTAATCATCCTCGCTTTTTTATCACCTTTCAAACTGAGTTGTAAGAAGGTTGACTTTTTCTCGACTGTGGCAAATTTCACTCCCTGTTTTCTTGTTTCCCTATAATTACTGATGAACTTTTGTGGATAATCATTATCTCGCAAACATTTTTTAACCATAGTTAATTTTTCAGTCTTCCCTTCCCAATATAGTTTCAATAGTGTTTTAACCAAAACCTTCTTGTAGCTTATTGGACAAAAACTATTGAAATTAAAGTAAAACCTACTCCAAGTGTCTTTTCGATGAATAAATCTTTCTATATGACCATTTGAATTGTGCTGAATACCAATATCAAGAAGATAAAATTTACCATCATATTCATGCACCATTGAAAATTAATACAAAAAACAATATTGTTTATAATGATAAAGTGAATTTTGTAGGTCATTTGTACCAATTCCAGTATTTATAACTTAATTATTTTGCCTACCAATATCATCTGAAAGAAATCACTACTATTCTCATTTTAAATTTCATTCACTTTTGTCCCTCTTCAGGCTGCTGATTCTATAGCAACAAGTTTATTACCACCAAGAGCTAAATGGTGTATATTTGGTAATACACCAGTTGCTGTTTGGTTGACTAGAGATAGAAATAAAGAAGATACTGGTACACAGGTAAGTGTATATTTACCAAGTGCTAATAGGTTATTGTTTGTTTTTCAAAAATGGTAGAAATTATCTAGTTGGGTGGTTTTTAGAGATCTGTTTGATTTTTAGAGGAAGTTTGTTTTCATCATAGGCTGACATTTGGAGGATCATTGAGATCTAGTTGTTTCGTCATGGTTTGAAACTTTGGATTTTCTGAACTGATTGGTTAACTCATGAAGCTTTCATTCTTTCTGGACATTATCTCTACCATATCCCTCTGCTTTGTAGTGATCAGGCTTGTATATCCGTAATTGCTAAATCAAACTATATTAGTCAGGATATTTGTTTCTTCAAATTCTACCAGTTCCAGCAGTAGAGCTGAAGACAAATCTAAGTCTGAGGGCAAAGCTGTACTGCCAACTGTATAGAAATATGACATCTGCAGGTTGGTGGACACGGTGAGTTCACCTAGGGGGGTTGGAAAACCCTGATTCCAAATCAATGGTGCACACGGGCTCCAGTATCCTGCGGGAACAAATGGCGTATGAACCAATTGTTGATCACCGGTTTCCATGGGACTGCATCTTCTTACGATGCTCCACTACCTTGTCGGTCAGACCTTTTGGTCGAAGGCCCCGGGTGTGACCCCCTAAGAAAACCACCTGCTTCGGATTGGGCACTCGGGCAGTATCACAGTCCTCACACATATCGAATGAGATTTGTGTGGCGCATATGTATTTGCTGCCTCCTTGTACCAATGTTTGTGTGACTAAATAAATAGGCTAGTGTAAGCGACCCAGTGTTGTATGTATTATGACGATATATTGTGGTATGTGCTACCGATATCGAAAGATATAAGTAGTATGTATCATCAATCGAAATTTAAATGCCTAAAGGCAGACGATCGAAGGAAGGAGTACGAGAACAAAGAATGATTAGTGTGGAAACGTAGGAACAATCAAATCTGAGACGACTGATTGACATTTTGCAAATGAAGTATCTACCACAGATGCCTTAGAAATATTGCTGGCGTCTGCTGGGATCACCGGGTAAGTAATAGTGAGGTTCGACGCAGGGTATTAGGGAATGATGGTAAATCAGTTGATGAGGTTGTGAATCTTCATCGACTAAGATGGTTGGGCCACGTGTTGTGTATGCCCGAACACCGATTACCACGACGTGCAATGCTAACCGGTACTGGAGATGCTTGGAAGAAAGATAGGGGCGGCCAAACCAAAACGTGGCATCAGCCATTGAAGTCACTAACTTCTAGTCTGAGTTATGATGGAAAATGCAGACTACTTGGTTGGGGTCCGAGTGACTATCGTAACCAATGGTTGGTGACATGGCTCAGAATCGATCACAATGGCGTCGGTGTATAAACTCTCTGTCTTCCCTTAAACTAAGAGATTGAAATCGCTTCATATCTTTATTTCTACGAACTAATTCTTTCTTCCTGTACTATATCCTCATATGCAATCTTTCTTTTATATATTACCACCACTGAATTAACTACTCCCATGAATCCGGTGTCCATCTTGTTGTGTTAATGAGGTATGGCAACTTGGACCGATGCACAAATGTACCTGGTCCCTACGTTGTAGCTGACTGACTGATATGAAGTATTTACTGTATGGTTTTTTTGTTGTTGCAATTTTGTGTTCAAATTACATTCGATTGTCCTCACTTGTGTTTTCGTTCACTACAATGTGAGATAATTAGAAGAGGTGTGACGCATATATATTTGGTGCCCTCTTATACCAATATCCATGTGTTCAAATAAATAAATAATAATAAATGACATCTGCAATGATGATGCCTCTCAACAACGGGTAAAGATTGTCAATGTTAAAAAAAATAACTCACCTAACCTAGCACAGATATCTGTTCACAGAACAATATTATTACCAATGATAATAATATTCATATATTCTCTTTGTATATTTCTGTTTATTTTTATAGGTATACTTTTTCAATGTTTATGTTGATAGACATTGGCATGGTGAAGATTTAATTTTAAATAATGATTTCAATATCAATGATTTTGCATGGATACCAAGAACTGAATTTAAAAAATTTATTCAACCAAAAACACTTTTAAAAACTTTAAAATCATTCGCTATTGATTATTGAATTCTCCGTTTATTTATTTATTTTTCTCTCGTCATTGTACAGAAATGAAATTGTTGTAAATAGCCTTTTTTTTCTTCTCTACTTCAAATAAAGTTATATGAATGAATGACTTGATATAAGCTTGTACGTTAAATGGCATTGTAAGACAAATTGTCTAAATGACATGGGATACTGCACGGGTGCCCAAACCGAAGCAGGTGGTTTTCTTAGGGGGCCACACCCGGAGCTTTCGACCTAAAAGTCTGGTCCACAGGGCAGTGGAGCAACATTAGAAGATTCAGTCCCATGGTAGTTGGTGACCAACGATAGATTCATACGCCATTCGTTCTTTTAGGATCCTGGAGCCCATGTGCACCATTTGTTTGAAATCAGGGTTTTCCGACTCTCCTAGATGGATCCTCCTTATCCACCAACCCTGTTAAAGCGCCGGACATTTGTTTCCCATCCTCTCTATTCCGTAAACAGCACCTCCTTCCCGAGAGGGCAGTGAGTAGGACTTCCCTGGTAGTATCTGTATATGTGTGATCATGTGAGAGCATTTCGAGAGGACTGTCAACAAATATCAAAATCGGAATCTGCAATACGGGTGTCAAGACAGTTCTCCTGTATGGAGCTGAAACTGGGATAACTATCACAACCATGATCAAAAAGATACGAGTAGTTACAAACAATGTCCGTCGAACGTTTACTACCAGCAACGGACTGCTGTGAGAGAGAACTTCCATCTGAAGAGGAAATTAGGAAAAGACAATAGAGGTGGGTAGGACATACATTACGAAAATCACCAAACTGTATCACGAGGCAAGCGTTTACTTGGAATCCCGAAGAACACGCTACGTCGGCAATTGGAAGCAGGATGAATAGCAACCAGAAAGGATTGTCCATGACAGAGTTGAATGGAGAATGCTGGTGAATGGCCTATACTCCTCAACGAGGGGAAACAGGCTTAATTAAGCAAGTCAATTCAAGATGTATATATATTAGGATGGAAACTGATATAAATTAGACAAATACAAAATGACGAAGAAAAAACCCCACCCCACCCATATTTATAGAAAGTAAGATCGATTATGTTAATTTAATCGGTGCAATAATTACAAATATGTACAATTACGATTTTTTTCTGAAAACAAACTGAATATGTACAAAATATAACTTTAGAATTGGGACTGTTTAACAAAATTCAACTGAATTGTATTATCCACACATCTAATACTCTATACATCATACACCTTGATCAGTAACCTAATCGTTTATTGTCGTTGCTTTCTTAATCACTTTTCAATTATGCTCTTTTCGCTATACGTAATTTGGCTGAACGACTTCTTGGGTTAGAATCTATCTCCGAACCGGAAGGAGTTATAGGTCCAATAACCTTTAAGAAAAAAAATAGCGTCATAGTGTTGAAAATAACTGATATAAAACCAAATGTATTAAGTATGAAACCAGTACATTGTTAAAATCATTTTTTCGGTTTGTATGACAAAGGAATCTGATATGTTTTAGGTTGTTTTTAAGAATAAGTCAAAAGTTTACCATTTTTGAAATAACGCGGATTGTAGTTGTTAATGCTGAATCATTAGCACTGAGGAGGGATTCAGTTGATGAGCTCTAAATGGTTTAAAATTCGCTTTAAGCACATGAGTATTAGTTACCATCAAGTATTATTTGAATTATTATTCATTTACTACATTAAACACTAATAGATGTGTACAAAATGGAACTAACTAGATTTATTATGTAAGTTGTATACTGATGATGTATGCTATCTATAGTCGAAGTGGCCCATGTGCACTATTGATTTGGAACCAGGGTTTCCAACCCCCCTAGGGAAATCCTTTGTATCTACTAACCCAGTGTATGCGCCGAATATTCGCCTTACGTATTCCCAATTTCGTAAACAACACTGCCCTGATAGTGGCTGTATACGCGTGGCTATATGAGATTATTTCGAAAGGGAGAACGAACTCTCTTCACCCTCGGATCATTCATGGGCCAATTATAGACAACATTGAACTTGGGAATAATGTTCATCGGTCCAAGTTTTCACCATATATCACTTCAATCAGATGAAAATATTTAAAATAAATGTCGGACTATCAGAATTAGTAACATTATTATTAGTAGTAGAAAACAATATAATTCGAGAACCTAGATTATCAAAGAATAATTTAACTTACACAATTCCATTTCGATTTTATCTGTCCCAGAGATCCATCTGATATTTCATCATTTTCATATTCTTTTCTTTTATTAGTACATTGAAAATTCAGACTTCGTTGTGATAAATATTTTGATAAGGATAGATTTTTACAATCATAATGGAATGTCCATTTGATTAAACGATCTTCTAATGAATGAAATGATAGAACAACTAAATAACCACCGGGTTTTAATAAAAATTCAGCTAATTCTAGACCGATACATAATTCGTTTAGTTCATCATTAATGAAAATACGTAATGCTTGGAATATACGTGTAGCTGGATGAATCGAGCTGAAAAGAATGATAAATACGTAGCAAAAGAGATGAAAACATGTGATCGTATATAATATTGATTAGTCATAGGATAGTGAATAATGCTATGTGTCTACTTCTGTGTTGATTGAATTCTATCAACCAAGTTACAGTATTATCACTGGTCTAAGTGAATCGATACTTTAAGTAAAATGTTAGGAAGCTAGGCGGTTGAAGTTGGTCGATAGGAAACTCTATACAAATTTTATTTTGTATAACTTGAGACTCATATACAGCAAGGGATACCTACAAACTTCAGGGTTAGGGTGTGAGCTATTTAATTACTTTACAAGTGCTAAATACCCCAGTTTTGATGACATCACCTCCGAATGGTTGCCTTCGGGGGTTGCATCAGCTTAAGTTGTCTTGATATTCCTGTTGACTATCTTGTTCGACTAACTTCTGTTCAAGAAATTGGTTGACATTTTCCGCATAGAATGGCTAATAAGGTTTATGTCGACATGTAGCCTATTGATTGCAGATTGACTTGAATTTCATGTTTCTAGAAAGTTCCTGTCATTTTTTCGGATTTCCTCGATTTCTTAATTATATAAGTGTCTGTAGTTGTCTGTGTACATTATTATGAGTGATAAGATGTCGTATTGTCTTACTGTTGTGTAACATGCATATAACGTTTAGGTATTGTTATATCCCGATGAGAATTATGAATGGTAACTTTTGAGAACTATTTATGGATCAATACGATACATAAATATTTTACTGTATAATTGTTAAGTAACCAAACTATTCATATTCACGTTCCTCTTATTATAAACTTTATTTTGACCCATAGACACTATTATTATACGATTTACCGCTCTTGATTTATACCCGGTCTATCAATTACAGTCTCCCACATTCACAGCCACTTTGAGTTAGATCTTGTATGGTACGATGTGGTCTATTTGGTTGGTATATAAACCCAGTATGTTTGAAATACATAACGCTGAGGCTGAGATTGGTGTTCTGGACTTAACAGACAAGGCTAGGTAGGAAGAAGGACCGATAAAGACTCTGGACTGTTAGTGCGGGTTTCTGCGTCATTGGTCTGGCCGATAAATCAATGTTGTCTAATTGGCCCAAGACCGATCTTAAAAAGGAGATTGAACATACCGCTTCCATATAACCATAAATACGATTTAGACAGTTTAGTCAATGACAGTCGAAAAAGAAATTCTCCTCATTGACCTATGTTTTATCCAACAATGGAGTGGATTTCTTCCAGAGTTTCATTTTAAATTGAAAATACTCTTCAACAAGTATAGAACCCAGAATTTTCAAATCTTATGATGAGTATATCATAGGTATGCATAGCTAAATAGTTGAAAACAGAACAAAAGTACCATTTATTTAATTTATAACGACAACTCGGAAATATACATGAAACCAAACATTCTTATTGATGTAGTTTTACTTACCCTCTATCTTCTCTATTCACTGGTACAACAGAATGAATTAAATCAGCCAACTGTTTTGTTGTTTGAATTGAACCAACATCATTTCTATAATCAACAATAGCGTTTGCGATACGCCTGGAAAAACGTTCTTCACCATAAATGCTGAATATATTCGACAGTTCGTCAGCATTCAATGTATTAATAACATCAGCTGCAGTTGGTGTATCTTTTCTGTAACATACAGATTAAGGCCAATATGAAGAGTTAGTTATTCACAGGTTTTAAAGTTGACATTATACAGAGTAGTATGTAGGAAAATTGTAGAAATTTTGAAAGTACTGTTATATATTAATTACAATTAGTATTGTTTGATTGGTCTTGAAGGAGTTGTACTACACTTTAACAAGAAGGTTAATAATACAAAGTTATAATTATTAGCATTGGATTACGGAGTCTGCTGAGCTTTATTGAAACAACAAACAGGGTTAAGTTAGACAACCACTGAAAACTTGGAAGCATGAACAATGAGGTTCAACCCTGTCAGGTATGAAGAAATTACTCACCGAAGACAATGAATAATGGTTACGTAATGCCCCGGGGTTGGTGTAAGTCACATCATTTGTTTTCGTCTCAGTGGTTTAGAAGCGTGAGACCGTAGATCCTTGGTCTGATCCCCAGTTGCTGGATCACCGATACACACTGCAAAGGAGTCCCATACTAAAACGAATCTGTCATCCAGTGCATTCAGGTTTTCAGTGGTTGTCGAAGTGACATCGATTTGTAATCTCAATAAAATGATAAATGTCATTAGAGGAATGATTGCACAATGATGAGCAACATTTTGGTGAAATGAAAATGAATTTAGGTAGGTAATAATAATTAAAAAATGATTTTTCGGCCTAGCATTTTTAAGCAAGGTTCTTTTCATACATGATCAGATTCCTGACCCCATGTCAAACCCTCTTTCTTTGTCCAGACTTGGGACTGGGAGTAACTCTAGAAGGGTTCCATACATACCAACAAACTCAGGTGAAGATATCGCAGTGTAGCAGTAGCCTCTGCAGCAGTAGACCATAACATACACAAGGGAAAAAAGCAAGACCCTCAAATACAACAAAGTGAGCAGCAAAAAAATCACACCCGATAGAAATGCTTTAGATGTGGAAACTTTTACACACTTGGACAAGATCGTTGATAAACAAGGAGAATTTGACACAAATGTGAAGGCACGGATCGGAAAAGCAAGAACATTCCTACAGTTGAAGAACATTTGGAACTCAAAACAACCACCAAAGTCACAAGTTTCAAAACAAATGTCCAGAAAGCTTTAAATAGTTTCCTTTTGTGCACCGAGTTGAAACTTGGAGAACCACCACAAACATTATCAAAATAGTATACATATTTACAAACAGTTTTCTACGTAAGGTATTCCAAATATCTTGGCCTGACAAATCAGCAATAAACCACTGTGGTAGAGAACAAACCAGCTTCCGGTTGAGAAGGAAGTCAAGAAAAGACGCTGGAGGTGGGTGGGTTGCACCTTACGGAAATCGTCAAACTTCATTACAAAACAAGTTCCTGTTCAAAATCCTCAATGCCAAAGGAAAGGAAGGAGACAAAGGAACACAATGAGCGGGGGATTGGGGGTGGACATCACAAAAATGAATAGAACATGGCAAAATCTGGAAAGAAGAGCCCAGAACATTGTTGCAGAATCCTGGTCGGCGGCCTATGATGCATGAGGAGTAACAGGGCTAAGTAATAATAATTAGGTTTAACTATTAGGATGAAACAGTGAATTCAAAGTCACGTGTATACATAGCACCACGATTATAACTATGGCCCACAACATTACTAGTTTCACTGAACAAAGCATAATAAGCATTGAGATATTAAGGTATTCACACACATACCACTTTGAACATGAAATATATACGATGATAATAATCATTATAAAAGATATTAATGACTTCAGGAGCTACTGGAAGTGTTAAACCTTCAAATAAACATGTTGACTGGTTTTAGGACGAGCGTATAAATCTTAGATGTACACTTTAGTGACAAGTTTGATAATTATCCAACTGATTAGGTCTTCGAGGCACTGCTTGTATATTTTAGAATCATTGGACTAATCCATAGTACTTGGTAAATATGGCAAATGGATTGACAAAGTAGAAAATCTTCATCGAATGGGACGGTTAGGATGTATATTGTTCTCCATCCACCGACTACCTCACCGCGCAACGATAGCTGGTGGCAGGATTTGTTCAGAAGAAAGATAAGGGAAGCCAAACAAAGACGTGGTATTAGTTCATGAAGACAGTTACTATCGGACTGAACCCCGTAGATAGGTGTAGACTATCTGATTGCAGTCTACACGATTACCGTAACCAGTGGTTAAGATTTGTAAGTGGTATGGCTCAAAATCGTTCGTAATGGTGCAGATTTATTCATTATTTACTTCCTCATAAATCATAAGGTTTCAAGTTTCCTATAATCTTTTTTATTTCACTAGCTCATATTTCCTCAAATCGTGCCTTCAATACCTAATTTTTTATTACCACTAATACTGTTACTAATGCAACAGATTGATCATGTAGGCCGAATCAATTCGTAACGTGGTCAATAGCCAAAGTAACTCGACTTGTGCAAAATATTGAGATGCAAGGTGTTGGTTGGAGGTGGTCGACAGGACCTAGGTTTCATCCTACTTGGAACTCATCAGCAAGATGTACCTATAAACTTGAAGAAACTAGTCGTTCAAAGTTTCCTACTGAATATCTCCAACCACCATCCTATATCTCAATAATGTTGCTATCTCTACTATTCTGGAATTTGCTTTGAAAACCTCACATTGCTGTCTTAATGGAGAATAGTAACCTGAACTGATTTACACATACGCCAGACTCGATGTTACATATGACTAACTGATCAATCAGACAAAATTTAGAGAGAATAAGAAGAGAGAAGAATAAACATTTCAGCATTCTCACTGAAATACACCCTACACAATGCCTATCATTTCACTTATGCTACTACCTTGAGTAAATCTGAATTTTGAAACAATTGATAATAACATATGTTGATTGTTTAGTTCCACATAAAACGAAATAATAGATTTTCAGACCTTTTCTTAGATCTTGAGTTTTAAAATTATCTTATACGTTTTATTCTCTGAATTCATTCTTTCCTCTCGTATTATGTTGTTTGTGCTTATTCTGTTCCACTACTGTGGTGTATGCTACTTAAGTTGACGGATATAAGTAGTACGTAGCATCAATAGAAAGTGGAATGTATCTTGAGTGCTGTTAGAGGTATGAGGGCGGTTATCACTTCGCGGTTGCCCACACCGTGGAAGGGTTCTTCTGGAGGTGCCTGAAAAGGAAGTTGGATTAGAGGTGGTCTTAGTGACCTGAGAGCGTGACCGCAGTGTCAAAGGGACAACTGCTTGAGGTCGGTCACACACGACCATTTTATGGGTAATTTTTGTGTTAGCTCCGTACTTTTTGTTGTATGACAGTAGAAGATTGAGAAGATTCAATTGAAGAGAACAGAATGAGAAACAGAAAGTAATTGTAATAACAACAGAATTGAAAGAATCATGAAGTATTTAACGGACACCTGACGGAAGATGTGTGAATGAAGTACTTAATGTATGGTTTTCATATTTTACACGAAGACATTCTGTAATTTCGCATTAAACAACAAATTGGTTTTCTTCACCAAGTCTTCATTCACTACATTACTATTGATTTGAATAGTTTGGAAAGATAATAAAAGATCATTACTATGTGTGAACTTTTTGTGTGAATAGATGCTTGTAGGTTAGGCCATTCAGATCTATCGGTTTAAGGTCGAGATGATGACAGGTACATGTTATTAGTCAAGATTTGGTTTGATTTTCCGAGGGAACAGATACACGCTGTTGATTGAAAATCGGGCCTTATTTTTTTGAAACACACATGTTAATATCAACAAATGAGTTTATGAATACATTTTGATCCAGTTAACCAATGCAAGCCTCTTATTCACTATTGATTTTTCATTCAAGTATAGTTGGTTCGGGAGGTCATATACGAAGCATATATATATCACTAGAAGACTTGAACGACAGTAGAACATAACCGAAACATCGAATATATACAATTTCCTGTGCTTTCCAATCGTCAACTCTAAGTTTGGATAAACGCTGGAGAACTAAATTTGAAATAATTATTTGTGCGCACGACTACGAAAATATTTGTGGTTTAGGAAAAGACGATAAACAATGAGACGTCTGAAGTGCCAGACTTTTGAGAACTCCTAGAGATATTTTGAATAATGAAAACAGAAACGGGATATATGTATTGCTAGGAGATAAGGCTGGCTTACTCTGATGTTTTGGATATGAAGTTCTTATGGCTTCAGTCTGTCTATTCACTGAACAAACGACTTACATGTAAACTATAAAAAGCCGATGATCAAATAAACATCTTTAAACTTACTGTACATTTCGACTTTGATTCATACGCATATCTAACGGAGCATTATGTTTAAAACCAAATCCACGAGATTCATTGTCTAATTGTGGCGAACTTACACCCAAATCCATCAGAATTAAATCAACTGATTGATATTTCAGATCAAAGCCACTTAATAATTGAGGAAGATCACTAAATCGTCCAATAAGTGGATATATTTTATGACTAATATAAAACGAAAGTAGAGGAAAAGACGTATACAACTTGATTAATATCATATCACTTAAAGTCTTTTATTGCTAATCGAAATTCATCGATCGATTTATAATTTGACCACTAGTATAGGTGACTCGGCAGAGTCCGCATAGTGTTTAAATGTTAGGTGGCTGGAAGTAATCAAGACAAAATGTTCCATGCAGGTTGGTACGCATTAGAGACAAGGAGTATCTGCAACCCTGAAGGAACTGACGTTCTTTGTGAGATTTAAACTTGTAATTCTAATATTACAAGCAGAAATTTAACTGAGAACAATAACTATAATGTACAGTTTTGATAAAATTATTATTCATTTAAACACATAAATATTGGTACAAGAAGGCACCTCTAAATATTTAATCCAGGTTCATAGTCTCTCTCTCCAGTCATGAGGGGATCATAGATGAGACGGCAGAATGAAGGTCGGTTTGTTGCTTGACCTAAGTTTGATTTCAAAAAACAGTTCCTAATTATGACATCGGAGATTTAACCCATATATTTACGAGGGTAAGAGTAGTGACACTAGCCAATATAGTGTGGCCTAAAACATGTGATCCTAAGGTTAAAAATTGAGTAATTTTATCAATATCCTACCGCTTCATGTGTTAACTGTTCCCTAAGGTGACTCATATTGCAACTATGTGAAAGACATAAGGATTTGATATTGAATGCTGTTACTATAAACAAACCAAAACGAGGCATCAGTCTATGAAGTCATTGACTGTTGAACTGAGCTGTGTTGATAAATGCACACTAACAAGTTGGAGTCAATATCATTACCGTAACCAATGGTTGGCAACGTTGAGTGGAATGGCGCAGAATCAATCACAATGGTGTAGACACATTCACTCCTTGTCTTACCCTACATCTTTCTAGTCCGCAAGTTCATTCACTTTTCTCGAATCACGTTGCTCCCAAATGCCCTGGTATGGCCGAGAGCGGGATGGGTTCGCCCTCCCTCTCAAAATACCCTCACACGGCCACGCGTATACAGCCTCTACCAGGGAAGTCCTACTCACTACCTTCTCGTGGCGGGGGTCTTGTTTACGAAAATGAGAGGACGAAAAGCGAATGTCCGGCGCTTTAACCGGATTCCAAATCAATGGTGCACATGGACTCCAGTATTCTGCAGGAACAAATGGCGTATGAACCAATTTTCGGTCACCAGCTACCATGAGACTATATCTCCTCACGATGCTCCACTACCTTGTGGGTTAGGCCTTTAGGTCAAAGGCACGGGGAGTGGCCCCCTAAGAAAACCACCTGCTTCGGTTTAGGCGTGGTTGTGTACAAGACTGCTGCTCCTTTTAGAGTACCTATCTGAACTCTGGTCATGACTTGGTGTGCGCCAATCTTACCTTACTTTTCAGTGGCGAACGGAGTGACCGCCACCAACGGATTGATGTTAGCAAGTTGGTTGCAACCTCTGTTGCAAGTAAGTATCGAACCGAGCTAGCTTCTAGGCTAGCTACCATTCCACCGAAAAGTATAGATGAGCATTGGTTGCAATTGCATGACGCCATGAAAATGGCGGGTACAGTCAGTTGTAGGTTCGCGAAACGTCCCGCTTATAAGCACTGGGTTTCCTCAGGCTCCTTACTACTCATTGAAACACGTCGGTCTACTCCGGGTAACCCTGAGTTAGACCACAAACGACGACTGTTAAGTAATGAAATTGAGCAAAGCTTGCGTAAGGACCGAGAAACCTGGTGGTCGGGGCGTGCTAATGAGCTGGAAGCAGCAGCTGCATCTGGTGATTACCGGGAGCTCTTCCAACTCATCCGAGTAACTGGCAGCAAGAGGTCTGGTGTGAGAGAAACAATCTGCGAGGATGACGGAACGCCAATCACTAACACCCATCAACGTCTTGGACGATGTGCAGAATTCTTCGAAGGACAGTTCAACTCGCCTGCTGCTCCGGCAACATCGGTCAGACTGTCCGGTCCTCCATGGCCGGTGACGACTGATCCATCGAATGAGGCGGAAATCCGCAAGGAACTCCAACTCTTGAAGCGCTACAAATCACCTGGCCCAGATGACTTACCTCCGGCTCTTTTTAAAGATGGTGGTGACGTTCTGACTAAGGAAATGACGACGTTGTTTACAAAGGTTTGGGAACTATAGAGTGTACCAACGTCATGGAATGAGTCGATAGTTGTCCCTATCTTCAAAAAGGGTTCACGTTGTTCCTGTAACAACTATCGGGGGGTAAGTTTAATTCCGATTGCGTCCAAGCTATTGGCTTCCGTCATACTTCGTAGGTTGTTCAAAACCCGAGAAAGATTGACTCGCGAGGAGCAGGCTGGGTTTCGTTCTGGTCGAGGATGTATTGATATCTTCACCCTCCGCCAAATGTTAGAACATCGCCATACTTATCAAAGGCCAACAATCGTAGTGTTTCTTGACATCAGGGCTGCCTTCGATTCGTTGGACAGGACTGTTCTCTGGGATTGTCTATTGAAGAAGGGTGTGCCTGAGAAGTTTATTAACATCCTAAAAGCCCTATATACAAACACCTCAGGCAGAGTGAGGGCGTACAACCACCTCTCTCCATTGTTCCATTCGAGCAGTGGGGTTAGGCAGGGTTGCCCAATCTCCCCATTCCTCTTCAACTTTGCCATCGACGACATTCTGAAAACAGCTCTGATGGATGTAAGTAATGGTGGTGTGGATCTGTTGCCTGGAGAAAGACTTCTCGACCTTGAGTATGCGGACGATATTGTCTTACTGTGCGATAATGCCCAAGGCATGCAATCCTCACTTAATCGGTTAGCAATCAATGTACGTAGGTACGGTATATGCTTCGCACCTTCGAAGTGCAAAGTACTTCTACAAGACTGGCAGGATTCTAACCCTGTACTCATCCTGGATGGTGAGCAGAGAGAAGTAGTCGAGATGTTCGTGTATCTGGGTAGCTGCATAAGTGCTGGTGGGCGTGTGAGTGATGAGATCAATGCACGTATAGTGAAAGCCAGAGCGGCTTATGCCAATCCGGGCCATCTTTGGCGCCTTCATGATGTTAGTCTGACTGTAAAAGGTCGGATCTACAACGCGTCGGTGAAACGCTTGTGAAACCTGGCCTCTCCGAGTTGAGGACGTTAGACGACTCTCTGTGTTCGATCATCGCTGTCTCCGAAGGATCGCTGACATTCAGTGGCAACACCATGTCAGTAATTCAGAGGCTCGGCATCGTGTGTTCGGGCACAGAGACGATAATGCAATTGGTGTCACCATCTTGAAACACCGACTTCGGTGGCTTGGACATGTTCTACGAATGTCGTCCGAAAGAATTCCACGTCGTGCATTATTTGCCGACTCTGGGACTGGTTGGAAGAAGCGGAGAGGTGGTCAGTGCATGACATGGTGTAGTGGTATGAAAGAAAGCTGCAAAGGACTGGCTTGTGCTGGTCCTTCACGACTCCCTGGCTGAGGTCCAAGAGATGGTGCAACACAGTGGCTAGAAACGTTATCAGATATGGCTCAGAATAGAAACCAGTGGCGATCCTGCTGTAACCTTCTTTTACTTTCTTCGTAAAAAGTTGTCGTATCTTCCCTAACTGAAAGATTTATTCTGCTTGTACCTTTCTGTTCCCCCACTATTACTACTACTATTATTACACTACCTTACACCAATCTCTTCGTTATTGTTTTTTTTATTCACGTTCCTTAGTTTTTTTCTCTCCTTCTTAAGTTCTCATTGCTTTGTGTGGCGCATATATATTTGGCGCACTCCTGTACCAATATATATGTGTTCAAATAAATAAAATAAAATAATCTTTTCTACTGCTACTAACATTGCTAATACTTTTACTACTCTGGGATCTACCTTGATAACTTAGTCTCGCTGTATTGATATGGAGTGGAAAATTCAACCAGTACTTATGTTTCCGGTTCTACATCGCTGACTGACTGTTACTATACTGATTTAAACTTAATACATCATTAATAATTAGCTACGTTGTCTGATAGGACAAGTTACTGTTGTCTACTCTTTCCTTATAACTAATTACATTATGACGTAATTTTTATTTTGCATATTAACTTTGTAAGTTTTGAAATATTACACAATAGAATTTAGCTTAGAAAATCCTTTCATCATTTAATTTTATTATTAACTAGAATTGTGGTGTGAGCTACATATATCGACATACGTAGTATATAACGATGGTCAGGCATAGAATGTATTTCAGTAGAAGATCGATAAGGAAAGAACGGGAACGGAACGCAATTAGTATGAAAATGCATGAACAACGAAATATGAGACAATCGACTGATATTTGAAAAAGGAACAGTCAAGTTTGAGACGATGGATTGATATTTTGTAAATTAACTATTTACTATATATGACTCTCAAATTTTATTGCGATACTCTGTAATTTCGTATCAAATACATTCGATTGTCCCCACTCGTGTTCGTATTCACTACAGAACAATACAATACTGAATTACTCTAATCAACTTCTTTTCTTCCCAGAAAATAATTCAATATATCATCACAGAATATATTGTATATAGCATATGAAAGAAACTTACTTGGATGAGCTATAATTTGTACGAAGTGATTCCATAAATGAGAAACTTGTTGGATCACGGTCTAGAAAGTAACAAGTTAAATTATCGGCAGCATATTTCAATATTTCATTTGCATGACCTCCTGTACCAAAAGTCATATCTAAATAAACCTAGATTAAATGAATTAATAGAAAGGAAAATGAATTCTTGAAGTAATCAGTATAAAATTTCTATCTATTTATTGTATATTCACCTTGTCAAAGCTGAATGAGATGGGCTAGTGTTTAAAATTTATAGTGATATAATTGAAAGTTCAGTGTTTAAAACACTAAGCTATTGTTACTTCCTTGATCCATTTGTCCACTAATATACAGGAGAGAATTTATCTCGATCTAGTTTAAGGCCTTGGCATGATAGGCTATCTACTTCAGTTTCGAGGGTAATAATGCACGAAATCTTGGTGATAGAGCGACGAAAACTACTCTAGGACCTGATTAGTTGACGAGAGAGAGAGGGGACGAATTGGCTGGAGCACTACCCGATTTATTCTTGATTCACATCAATGAAAAAATACATATGAATGAATAGATGATTAACAAGACCATAACCCATATAGAATTAGGATAGGGAAAATGTAGTGCAAAAGGTTACAGATAAATCACAACAATTCTTGAATAGAAAAAAGTATGGCAGCGAATCATGTATCAAACGAAAGCTTATGGTTTATAGAATAAACCATAGACAAAACTAAATGTTAGTATCTTACTAACTTTGAATCAAGTGAAATAATGTTCCCAAAAATAACTTCTGTTGTTTGTCATGGCTTCTTTGTTTCTCTATCTACATCAGCTACAAACTCTCAATATGATTCCAAAATAAGCTATGTATATTAGTCGTGTGAAACATTTAAGAAATGTCGACTGATAAGCCTTTCAATTAAACGCTAGATTCGGTTCCTAAGCTCTCCCAGTAACCCCAGGCTGGATCTACACAGCGACTTGAACACAAGAGAAAAGGCGCGAAATATGGTTCCTTTATGTTCAGAAAATTTGGAGTTTTTATGGTATTTTAGATGTCCCTGGGTTTGCGGAAAATTCTGGAATGCTACTAAGCATAGTAGTAGTATAAGTAATCACCAAATCAGTAACTCAGCACGTAACTTTTCACTTTCTAGATGTTTCTGGTAAAACTTCTATTGAATGCTGATTAGATAAGATGTTTCTCAGCGTTTTCAAAGCCTAGTAGTTGGACAAATGGGATTTTTATGTTAAAAGATAACATATTTATACACAGAATATATGGACATAAAATAAGCATAATAGAATTTTATGAGCCATTGAACGAATTTCAGTTGCACATCAAATTCTCCAATCAATTGAGACCTGATTGCTAGGGTCAAAATCGTTATTATGTGGAAACAATAACTTTTAGGATAATATTAAACCAAACTATAATAGGAAAATGTTAAGTGATATAAGGCAGTCGACAGGTAAAGATCATTGAACTAGGTTTCGTAATAGCTAGCACTCGTCATCAAGGCGTACATACAATCATGTGGCCACATTGTATCTTGATCGACAGAATTCAGTCAGAAGTAAGAGACTATAGACGAACATAACATTTCTTACTATTCACTGACCGATCAATGTAAACAGCTCAGTCATACAGAAAGTTAGCCATGGTCTGAACAGCTGAGTAGTAACGTCGTAGAATGTGAAACAGAGTGATGCTGACTCAATTCCAACATAGATTACGGTTCTCTTAATACTACAGGTACGCACCAGCTGACAAACAATAGCTGATGCGAAAGCTAGGTTAGGGGAAGTTTTCTCCTGAATCCTGGCAATCATTTAAGATCTAAACAGTGCACTTGACATCGAGTCACTTAAACTAATTACCACATAAAAATTGGTCCATCACCATTAAAAATAACAAGGGAAACATGATATTGGTTACTTTATGGCAGTTAATCAATTTACAATAAGGATAAACAACTAAACTTTAATACAACTGACTGAAAAACGATTAATGAAATGCCCTGGTACGGCCAAGAGTGGGGAAAGTCAGCTCTCCCTCTCAAAATGCTCTCAAATGGTCATGTGCATACAACCACTGTCAGGGAATTCCTACTCGCTGCCTTCTCTCGGCGGAAGTGTTGTGTATGAAATTGAGAGGACGAAAAGTGCCCAGTGATTTAACCGGGTTGGTGGACACGGAAAATCAACATAGAGAAGTTGGAAAACGCTCATTCCAAACCGATGGTGCAACAGGGCTCCAGGATCTTGAAAGAACAAGTGGCGTGTGAACCAATCATTGGTCACTGACTACTATGGGGACTGCATCTCCTTATATCTCTCTACTGTCTTATGGATCAGACCTTTAGGTCGAAGGCTCTAGGCGTGACATCTGTGTCAGGTTGTATATTAACCATGATCGATTGACTGATCTATCAGTTCTTTTCATGAATTAAAAAAGTAATTGTAATCGACGCAAATTCATTCAGTAACTATGTGTCATAGTCTCCTCTTCCTTTTAGATGACTGACAACTGAGTTACATCTTCTTAGCACTGACGTAGTACATTAGACTATGAAAGTCAAAGTGACGAAGTCGTCGCATTTTACTTTTTGATTCCATCACTAAAGTACGCTTCTGAAAAACGACCAGCTTAATTATGTGGGAGAAGAACAAAGACTTCGTGGGCGTCTTTACTCCCAAAATACAAATAATAATGCTTGTGATTCTCGCGTATACACATATATGGTCTAACTGACCTCGACAGAGATATATATTAGGATAGGTATCTTAAGTGAATAATTCACTTACAAGAGCCATGTACAACTAAACTTGTATTATTTATCCACCATGTGGTCTGATCGGAGTTGGTCGGTATACTTAAAACTGTAGTTCCTGATTGTTTGTTTATAAAAAAAGCGATAAAACAAGACAAGTAGATCACTAACTTGACCTGGTTTCGGTTGGGTATATTTTAAAATTTCTGATTTCATAATTGGAATATGTGGAGGAACTGACGATGATAACATTCGGAAACGGATTATTTGTTCACATTTTTTGAAAATAATCTGAATAGATTGGTTCATTTGTATCGGATCTAATAAATAAACGAAAAAACTGCAACATGAAAAATGTAAGATTGCTTACAGACTTTGTGAAACTCTATAATTACAGTAGTAAATCTTCTTGTTAAATAACGCAGATGATTCTATATAAAGCTGGTCACATATGGCCTTTGTTTGAAGTTTTATTAGATATCATTTACCAATCAATTCGGCTCTTTTAGATTTTTAAAAATGAAATTAACCTAGTGTAATATTGTGTACTGGCTGACTAACTGAATCTAAATGAGCAACAAGTCATGATGAGTAATGCTTTATTTTGTGCCTATAGGACTTTTTAAAGGAATGTTCTTATGATCAGTGACAGAAGTAAAATGTATATCCCAATATAGTTTATGAATTTCATAGAAATTCGATGCAGATGACGTTCTTGGAAGGAAATCGATCAACTGAAAATGATAACGTCCCAACAGAAAAACGGAACCTTGGAAAAATCAGACTACGTCGCAACAGCACAAAGTGGAATACATGAGAGGAAATTTGGGAACATCGATGACTAAATACTGTAAAATCGACCAAATTAAAAAGCATTCCCTTATTGTTATCGCATTTAACAGACCAAACTCAGCTAGAACACAATACGATAATTTCAGAATTGTCCCATTTGTACTTTAACTGGTATATTCTGAATATCGGTTCAAAAACGAACCACAAAGAACGAAAGTATGGACATCCACCGTAAGTGAACTATGTAATGATGTAACTCCAGATGCCTACGAAACACTGATTAACTCGAATGTGATGAAGATTCCTGCAACAGAAATTACTATTAAACGTCATATTCAGATCTTATTACGAGTTTCGTACAACTAAATCCATTGATAAATCTAAACGGACCAAAAAAAGGTTTGTAGAATAAAATGAACTCATCAATCTATTTCACGGTTTTTCATAAGCTACATACAACTTAAATTATAACTACTAATATAATTATTAACAAATCCTCAAAAACACTACATGTATTAAATGTCCCGATGTAATACTGAATTGAAAAGAATATATGCATAAAATGTCCTAAATTAACAATGATACACTAAGATATCAAATCAACAAATCTAAGGTACCATCGAAAACAGTCAATAAAAGTCTTAATGAACTGATTGATGATTCAAATAACAAGAACCTGAAGGCAAAAAGATCACGACTGCTTTTCGTAGATGGTCTTAATAGAGTGCACAAATCCAACATCCCGTTGAGACCTATAATGTCTATGATTGATTCACCAAATCATAAGTTGGCTAACTTATCATAACCAATTTGTAGAATACTGAGGACCAATAGTTTAGTTCCACAAAAATGGATCATTTGAACAAATCCGACAGATTCATGGCATATTATGATGTGTTCTTTATTTATGAGTATAACATTAGGAGCTAATAGTATAGCTCGCAAACAATCTGAATTACTTCTTTAACCTCAAAGCGAGTTACTCCTGTGCGCGAAACGGGATTCCTTTCCAATCAAACAACCAGCTATACAAACTGACGGAGCGGCCACAGGATCACCACTAGGACCCATCTTGGCCGATATCTTCATGGCTAACTTAAAGAACGAAACTAATGTACATACTACTCCAGATGTGCTGATGATAAGGACCACACCTCTCCGTTACTTAGTCACTTCGATAACTCGTCCCAACGAAATGATTACAGTTGAATATGAGATAACCTGCTCAGTCACCATAAAACGTCCCCGACCTAACCTGTGCGTACGTGTAGTTAGCCTTTCGCTGACATAGTGACTGGATACTTACCCAATAACCTCTATTCATTTTCGATTCTTTTCTAACTCTGTCCCCGAATGCTTGTTTTTATTGTCTTTTGATATCTAACTCTTACATATCCTAAATGTCCACATATTTCTTCGTTTTATCATGACCGATTGCATAGTAAGTTACTAATTTCATTACCTTGGCATGACCTTTGAATTCTTAACTTCCCAACAAATAAATACACATCGGTCATAACTATGTCTATTCATACACTTTGTATCCCTATTCTTTTAATTATTATAGTTTTGGCTACGTTTAGAACATTTATCTAAATTTCACAAACTACAGAATGTTAAACGTTTGTTGGTAATTATAACAATGATTGCAATCTTAGGTCCTATGCAACTGATGAGAAACTGTAATAACTTTATATCTTTCTTTCAACGAAGTAATTTTTTCTCCCTGTATCATATCCCTATGTGAAATCTTTTTTACTACGATTGAAGTAACTGCTTCAATGAGTTTGGTGTTTATCCTGTTGTGCTGAGGTATGACAACTTGGACCGATACATATATGTACCTGGTTCCTACGTTGTAGCTGACTGATGAGAAAACGTAAAATAGAAGGACAAATTTATTTTACTCTGCAAATCCTGTTGTCCCTGTTCTGTTTAAACTTATTACAAGTGTTTGGCTTAGACTTAATCGAACCGTAATAAATCAAGAACCCATCAGTTTGTAGATTTTATATTACAATCGGAGTTCAAGACACTACGCTTAATCTGTAACGTGTTTTGTATAGGTATGAAACACTTAAATGTAATCCTGTAAATAAAACATCAAATTCACCCAAGTGAACTTTTCTAAATAGTTAACTCTTCAAACAACACATCAGAAACATTGAGAACACGCAAATTTATCCACATATTTATTTGTAGTTAGACAATTTTATGATGCACTTTTATCTGTTTGTCCTTTGGATTCACGTAAGGAGTGACTTCGCGACCGCTTGCGTTCTGCACGCTCATCGCGAGCTTGTTTTCTGCGCTGAGCAAGCAATTTGGCGTATTCTTCTTGTGTCTTTCTGCGGGTTTCTATGCGCTGACGCTTCAGTGCATGCCTTCGGCGTCTACGCTGTAATCTCAAAGGTGTTGTTAAACGCTGAATCTTCGGAGCTTTGGAACGCTCTTTCTTTCCTTCTTTAGCTGGGACAGGCTTACGCACAACGAACTGACAAACATTATCCTTCTTCGACAGATTAAACAATTTCCTAATTTTTGAAGCTCTCTTAGGCCCAAGGCGTCGAGGGATACTGACGTCAGTCAAACCAGGGATATCGTTTTCTCCTTTGCGTACAACAACCAGATTAAGGACACTTAAGTTACTATCAACTATACAACCACGTACGCTCTTGCGTCGTCGTTCTCCTTTACGTCTAGGACGATAACATGAACTTCCTTTGCTCAACAGCAATTTGACACGGCCATTAGTTAAAACTCCTTGTTTCATAGGGAAACCCTGTTTATCATTTCCACCAGTTATGCGCATTATGTATCCTTTCCATTCGTCTCCCAGAAAATCAACTGGAAGTTCATGGGACATACGTTTATCATAAAATGGGCGAAGTTTAAGTTCTTCATCGACCTCAATACACTTTTGAGTCCCATTGGACGGAAACGCTATGTTAAGCTGAAAAAGGACAAAAGGTTTACATGGAATTAATGAGATTTATGAATAAAGATACCAAGTAATTTAGAGCCTAATAGGATTGTCTTATGCAAGTTATATACTCTACTGTTTAGTATGGCAATACCGTGAAAAAGAATGCTTTAACCGATCGAAAATCGATACAGGTCGTGTACGAATGTACACAGCTTTGTCAGCCCACATTGGTGGACGTGTAAAATTTAAATACAAAGTGTTGTAATATTGATAATTAAGATATAGATGACTCAAAATGTAAAACGATGGCTAAAATCGAAAGTAGAATAACGGATACATGTCTGTGTCACTGCGATTAGATTTAAGCCATGTTACCTAAGGATCTACCAGAGGTTGTGATTACTACTGGTACCTGAAGAGAACCTAGACCTTCCTATTCGACCTAGATTAGCATTTAGTAACTTCGAGTAGTGCTTAAACACCCTGATTTTGATCTTATAACTATCTTATATGCTATAATATTGGTATTACTCAGTCAGCTACAACGCAGGACCAGGTACATGTGTGCATCAGTCCAAGTTGCCATACCTCATTAGCACAAAAAGATGAACACATGATTCATGAAGTAGTTAATTTAATGGTGGTAATATATAAAAGAAAGATTGCACATAAAGATATAGTACAGGAAGAGCCCCCAAAATGTCCTGGCACGGCCGAGAGTGGGGAGAGTCCGCTCTCCCTCTCAAAATGTTCTTACATGGCCACGCGTATATAGCCTCTGCCAGGAAAGTCCTACTCATTGCCTTCTATTGACGTTGTTTACGAAAAGCGCTTAAACCGAGTTGGTGGATATAGAGGATCTACCTAGGGGAGTTGGAAAACTCAGACTCCAAACCAAAGGTGCATATAGGCTCCATGATCCTAAAGGAAAAAATTGAGCATGAACCAATCGTTAGTCACCGGCTACCATGGGACTGTATCTTTTTACGATGCTCCACTACCTTATGGATCAGAACTTCAGGTCAAAGGCTCCGGGTGTGACCCCCTAAGAAAACCACCCTGTTTCGGTTTGGGCACCCGGGCAGTATTACAGCCCTCACACATCAAATGAGGTCTGTGTGGCGCATATGTATTCGGTGCTTCCTTGTACCAATATGTGTTAAAATAAATAATAGGAAAATACCAACGCCATTGTGATCGATTTCGAGTCATACCACCCAGTCTCCAACCATCAGTTACGGTAGTCACGCGGCCCATAACCAAGTAGTCTGCATCTACCGACATGGTTCTAACTGGAAGTTAGTGACTTCAATGACTGATGCTGTTTTAGTTTGGCCGCCCCTAACTTCCAATCATCTACACTAGTCAGCATTGCCCATCGTGGTAATCGGTGTTTAGGCATACGCAGCACGCGGCCCAACGATCTCAGTCGATGAAGATTCACAACCTGTCAATGGAACGATGGTTAGAACGTACAGCGCGTGCCTAGCCACTACAGTCGATGGCGAAGTGAAACCTCTGAAGGTTCGCCAAC